AAAAAAAAAAAAGAGCTAAAATGAATAGACAGAAATACTATTAAATGATGGTACATGGAGGGGATTATAATCATTTTAATGAAACAAAGCATATGATTTGTTGAATGTAAAACTGATGATCTACCCTGTCAACTTGCACTCAAATCACAACAAAAACTTAAAAAGATAAATTTTTAAAAGGATCCTTCTCTCCTCCCTCTCCAACCATTTATTCTCCATACCTTCAGGAGTCAAGATGCTTTTGACACTCTTCAGGAAAGCTTGTTCCACAAATGCTGGGGGTGGACAGCTCATTCCCAGGGTTGGGTCCTTACTGTCCACATCAAACATTATGACATCATAGTGAGGCCGTGCTGGGAAAGAAAAGCAAACATGTCCTTGGCTTTGTTGAATCAAATCACTGTTTACATTCTCGGCACATCTCTGTGTGGGCACTAGATGATATGAGGGGGCACAGGGAGGATGACTTGCCAGTAAAGAGTACTGACGTCAGAATTGTACACACCCCCAAGGACAAGATGAGTCTTCACCTCATCTTCTAATCTCCACATATAAAAGCACACACATTAACAGATCAACTCTAGCACAAATACTGCTTAACTGATCCATTCCAGTGGTTTTCCAATCTGGTAGAACATTAGAATCACTTTCTAAAACCAAACGAAACCCAAAGCAGTAGAACCAGTTCCAACTCATAGTGACCCTATAGGTCAAAGTAGAACTATTCCCATAGGGTTTCTAAGACTGTAAATCTTTATGGGAGTGGAGAGCCTTACCTGCCTCTGACAGAGCAACTGGGGTGTTTGAATTGCCGGTCTTTTGGTTGGCAGCCTAAAGCTCAACCCACGGCACCACCGGGCTCCTTAGAATCACCTTTTTGTTGTTGTTGTTCTTAAGTGCCGTCGAGTCGTTTCTGACTCATAGTGATCCTATACAGGGTTTCCGAAGAGTGGCCAATGAGTTTGAACCACTGACTTTGCAGTTCAAACCAATCATGCGGTTCAGTATTTATGCTACAGCACCACACCTGGGCTCTACCTTGGGAGTGTCTAAATGTTTACAGAAGCGGGGCCTCTCCTGACCAACTGAGTCAAAAATTCTGAAGTCACGGGGGGAAAAAGGGAGGAGAGATGGGAAGTCTTTGGTATTTTTCTTAAGCTTTCCAGTTACTTCAAAATATACTTACCGCTGGGAACCACTATACAAAGCAGCTACCCAGGACTTTGAGGCCTGTTCTGGCAACTGTTAACTTGAACTTAAGGAGATTACAGAAACTGAAGTCCAGGTATGGCATTGCAGGATAATCCACTGGACTGCAAGGTCAGCAATTCAAAGTCACCAGTCCCTCCTCAGAAATTCTGGACACGGTTGCTATGAGTTGGAACCAACTTGATGGCATTTAACAACAGAGAAACTTAGCATTCATTGTTCTGGTATTTGAGTCAGAATATTTTTTCAAGTCATTGGAATAGTTAGCTTAAGAAAGACGTTATTTTGCTGAATGGGTGAAAAAGAGCTGATAAATTGAATCTGCTCGTTAAATGTTTTTAACAAAGACTAGGACTAGCATGCCATTGGTATGTATTTCACAAATGATGACACTGTGCTAAAGCTTACTATATATTACCTAGGACCATTATATGCCCTGGACTCCTGGTGTGGTGCTGTAGGATCAGCACTGGAATGAGAAACACAAGGTTAGAACTTTAATTCCAACAATAGGGTATTGTTTGTTGTTGTTAGGTGCCATCGAGTCGGCCCCAAACCATAGCGACCCTATGCACAACAGAACAAAA